TGACACAACTTGAGGCCATCGCCTCTCGTCCTATCGCTGGTTACGTGGGAGAAGAGACCAACCCCCCCTCGCTACCCCCTCCTGTCAGGGAGCTGGAGAGAGCGATGAGGTCTTTAGAATATCTTCTAAAAAGATGCTCGGTATTCCCACACTTTGTAAAGCATTAGTAAAAAAACCACAGCGTTTTATTAATTTATAAAATACAGAGTCTCAAGCGATTAAAGCATACGTACAGAGGAGCTAAAAATATCTGGCAGCTGTGAGGATACTCGCGCAGCACGGCAAAACAAGGAAGAAAATGAGTAAACAGCCCTTCTCCTGCCCCGCGGTCTGGCGTGTTGTGAGGGCGCGCAAACCTGTCGGTATTCCAGAAAAATGGACCCAATCTCAGCCAAGAACAGCTCTGGAAGACGACCAGCACACTCCCAGGAGAGGCGGCGGGAAGCAGAGGGCAGAGTTGCAGTGGCTGCGGGGTGAGGAGGAGGAGGAGGATGAAGAAACCCTACTTCAGAAGAGTATTTACAACTGAAAGCTGCGGAAGGGGAAACGCAGCATCCAGTCCCGATTCCCCGGAACTCCAAGATGAGCTCGAAATCAAGGAGTAGCTAAAACCGGGCTGCACCACCCAAAGCCAGCCCTGTCTCCTCCCAGAAGCTCTCTCCAGACCAGGGTGACCGTGGCTCTTCATAAAGACCCCCCTGTTTCCAGCTCGTCCCCACGCCGTCTCTGTGCCCAGAGGCGTCACACGCCGCGTGAGCCTCAAAGCGGCCACGCCTGTCGTTGGACTGTGGAGTCTCCCAATTCAAAAGCCAAGTTTAATTTAATGATTTGAATTCACCTATTTTTTGAGCTGTTCCCACAACGGGTCTTTTCAGGCACCACTTGGGCGGCCCATTTATTTATCTGTAATGGAGACAGAGGTCAATTAACGCTCATTTGCGCAGGGCAAATGTATTTTGCAGCCTGGAGGAGCCCGGGAGATGTTCCGCTTCCCCACGGAAGGCGAGCGGAGCCTCTGGATAAAGCCATGGCAGGGAGGAAGATCCTCTCCAGGAGTTCCGCCCGCGACACGCTGCTTGTCACGCAGCGGCGTCTGTGCCGCAGCCACAATCCTAGCAGAGGAGAGGGAGAAGAAACACAGAATCTGTCTCTGACAGAAACACACCTACTTCCCTCCTCCGTGCGGAGGGGCTCGCCGAGTTATCTGTCTCTCGGCAGTTTATTCCTTTCCCACAAAAGGAAGCCATCCCTGAAGGACGCTGCTTCACCTCCGCGCGACCGACGAGCGCAGGAGGAACCTTTTCCAGGAGCTCCTGAAGAAAAGCAGTTTACAGGTAGTTTACAGACGCGTTAAAATGTTTTCCAACCAGGGCGCAAATTGGACTCCCCATTTACCTGCCAAGATTCCGGTTCAGTCCCTTTCATTTCCCTCGTAGGAACAGCTGGCGCAAGCCGCTAACACAGCAGGAAGCGTGATGCCTTAAACTGCTTTAAGTGTTAGTGACGCATACGTTCTAATCAAGAGTTGGCATCTTTAACATTCTTTGTATTTATTTTAAGAAGGCATTTTCGTTAACCTAAGCAAGAATATTCTGCGAAGAAAATACATTTTTTGTTTCTGCTCAAACTTTTCAGCGTAGACACTGAGCACTCTGCCAGCTCGTTCAGCAGACATCACTCGGTTACGTGGCCACGCGACACGAAACTACACACACACACAAGAAAAGCTCCAATTAAACCTCCTAAAGACAACGTCTGTGCCAAGGACAAGCAACGTGGCATTATCAGCGAGAAGCCAGGGCTGGAAAGGCAGCCGACATGCAGCGGGGCGGAGAAGCCCGTCTCCAGACGGCTTCCACCCCGTTTCTTTGCCGTCCTTCGAAAGGGCAGCGACAGGACGGCAATGAAAGGATGCGCGAGGGTTGCTTTAAAAAGAGAGAGTTCAGAAACTCCACCGCGACTGCGCCGGGTACGGGCAGGCAGCCGGGGTCACCGCAGCCAAGTTCTCACCTACGCTACTCGCTGTGAAAGAGCAGAAATACAAAAACAGCAGAGGTTTGCATAAAAGTAAATTTTGTCTAGTTCTCCTCTTAAAATTACTGTACAAATAAATAAAGTTATTGTCCATTTAAATATAACCGTTCGGGAAAACCGGAAGCTGGCAACGGTCCTCCGATCGATCCGCTCGTTCCGAAGGAAGGCAGAGTTGTTCGCCGCCTCCAAGGCCTCCGGATCGCAGAAGGACGCGACACCTGCAAAGGAAACACACCAAAGCTGCAGAATAAAACACTTCTTGGCGAGAGCACTGGCCTGTACCGAAGTTCCCCTGGCCCGCTGTTCTGCCTCGGGGACATCCACACCATCCGTACGCTCAGGGCCGGTACGCCGGCGGGCTTCCCTCAGTAAAAATCCCAGTTCTGAGCAAAGTTTAACTGGACGAACGCCCCGAATCACAGGTTGTACCCATATCCTCGGCTTTACATTGATGAAAGAAAACTCGTTTTGGTGTTTTTCACACTGTTCTGAGCAGATCTGAAGCTCGGCTGCCCTGTGGAGTTTGTTGCCCTATGACAACAAAGCATTATGGAGAAAAAAGGAAAAAAAAGCATCTCCTGTTTGATTCGAACTCGCTGTGGGAGAATTTCGTAGAATCATAGAATGGTTTTGGTTGGAAGGACCTTAAAGATCATCTGGTTCCAATCCCCTGCCATCAGCAGGACATCTTCCACCAGCCCAGGGTGCTCAGAGCTCCATCCAACCTGGCCTTCAACACTTCGAGGGAGGAGGCAATTTCTCCTGAAGCACCGCGGATTCAGCGCTGTGAGAAACCCTCCTCAGCTCTGCGCTACTCCCGATTTGAGGGGAGGGAAGTCGGCCAGGAGATGGGTCTGTTTTTGGGACTGAAGCACCCGGCGTTTAAGAGAACCCCGTTTCAGAAAGGCGAGCTGGGTTTCATTCCAGTCTGCATGAATGCAGTGGCCGACAGCGTT